CCTTTACTGGGCCTTTTCCTCTTAAAAAAGAAACTTTCCAAAGACGTCTGTTTCTTACTCATTTTGCTGCTTGTATGTTAAACTTGTGGACTCAAGTGACCAAGATGTAAGCGAGAAAATATGGTCATTTTTCAAAATAAAAGTTAATTAAACAATTAATGATTTCTTGTGTGGCCTGGTACCAATTGATCCTGGGACTGATATGAGTATAATGTAAATGATCTGTATAAATCAGCTCATCTAACTTAAATTAAAGTATGAAAACATACAACAAGACAATGCACAATACAGGTTTTTTTAACAACAAAAGTCTACTACTGCTCATTTAGCACAGACATATTGAACGGCATTAAACAAGTGTTAGATCTTCTCAATCTCTTACGTAGAAGTAATCTGTAATTATCCCATATCCTGCGCTATCAGCGGCTAATCTCAAAGGCTTCACTGTGATCTCATCAGAAGCCACCAGTAAACTTCCCCACACACATGTGAAACTAAGTAAAAGATTAAGAGAGGAAGACACAAAGATAGATACAGAAAATAACAGAAGTCCTCTGTGTCATTTCAAGACATCCAGACACGTGAGCTCAGAAAGCACATGAGCTGATCACAGTGATAAGTCAGACAGTCTCTCCGTTCATAACAGAGTGAGGGATGAACCTAGACAAAAACAAAGCGACTCAATGTACTGCTAATTGTAAGGCCTGCTATGCTTAATCTTGTGGTAATTCTAGTCCAAAAAATTCAAGATGCATTACTGATTTAAAAACTAGAGGCCTGCAAAAAAAAAAAAAAAAAAAACATTGTTTGTCTGCAACTGCTATGACCCCCAGGCCTACTATCTCACACACAGTCACACATTCTGGCAGGAATTTTCTCTCCTTTCCCGGTAACTCAGAGCTGTGAGTCAAGCCACTGTTAATAAACACAGGCATCTTAAATAGACAGAAATTACCCAAGAATAATACCCCAGGGTTTTAGTTTTGTGGTAAAACAACTACCACATGACTAACACCAAAATGAATTAGCCAGATGCATAAAATGAAAACAACATTTTCACATGGTCTTAGTCTAGGTAAACTGATCTAGACGTTTAGATGTATTGTAGATTAATTAAAGAAATGGTTTGATGAAAGCAACATACAGTGCTCAGCATATACGAGTACACCCCTCCCAAATCTCTCTTTTAAATTCATATTTAAATAGGAAGCTGTACAATATTATATTTGTGCATATACATTAGATTGGGCATTACTGAAGCCAAATCTGGAGCTTTTCTAACAAAATACGATAACGATCCAAAAATTAGTACGCCAAATTTATGTTATAGAAAAATATTAAATACAAATTTAAAAAATAGGAAAAATCAAGAAGCAAAAAAAATTAGAAAAATTTAGTTGAAATTTTGTAGGTTGCAATTATTTTTTGCATTATTTAGCTTGAATTTAATTGTATTATTTTTCAATTTCTAAATATGTTTGGTGACTAAAATATTATTTTAATAAATGTCTGTTTAATAAATCTGTTTTGTTTAAATGCACCAAAATACAATGCCTCTATTCACTGAGAAATGGATACAAATATTCATTTTCAAAATGAAGTGTACTCAATTATGCTAAGCACTGCATGCTTGACTGTACGAATGACCATGTGTTGCATTTTTTCTGGGACATTTCATATTTCAGCTCTATTTTGTTTGTGTCCTCCTGAAAGAGAGAGAAAAAAAAGCTTTGTCCCAAATCACATTATTCTAAAAATGTCTTAAGCTACACGGGTATATTTGTAGGAATAGCCAATAATACACTGGATGAGTCAAACATTTAGATTTTACTTTTATGCCAACACAACATTTATTAGAATATTAAATGAAGATCATGTTCAATGAAGACATGGGTTTGCTCCTGTCAATATATCAAAACTAAATTGCTAGTCAGTGAAATAGATTGCCAAGAACACAATTTGCAAAACTCTAAAGGCAAATTTCTGTTTATTTATTTTTAGATATTGTCCTATACTAACAAATCACACATTGGTGAAAAGCTTATGTAGTTTTCATATGATGTATAATTCTTCTCGATTTCCAAAAATTGACAATTAAGTAATGAAATAATCAATTAATTCTGTGGTACAGAGTCACAATTTTTTTACTGCTGTGTGATAAAGCGAGTAGTCTCCTGTCATGGAAGAACAGTTAAAGTAGTGACTAAGGTAGCCAATCTTTCAGCCAAGCTGTCCCTAAGGCTAACATACGGTGACCCAGTATTGCACAACACAATGACATTTCAAAAAGCAACCAGTAATCTCATAACACAATGAAATTAAGATTACAACACAGCGACATTAGGATCACAACACACAAGCATTTCAGAAAGCAAACACTCAGAGAGCAAATGCAACAGAAATGCTGTCTCAAGTTTCGTTTCTAAACGTTCGAATGAATCAAAACCGACATTTTTTTCAGGATGCCCAGGCTAATGCACACTTGAAAGAAACGAGATCACGACACCAACCTCATTTAAAGGCGTTTAAGGCATTATAATCCTCTAAGCATGTATAATGATTTGTCAGATCGAGCAGGTCTTCTGAAGTAATTCACAACTTGGTCTTGATGACGAATCACCTCCAGAAATGACAGCGACTCTTTGTTTACAGATTATGGGCATTTTAGTAATTGCTGTGATGTGCTGTGCATTTGACAGGACTGTACCTCACGTTCGTTTCATACAGATTACAAAACCAAAAAACTTTTGTGTTCAAGTGTAGTTGGTTCATTCAAAAAGTTCAGATTTCAAGCTTCACGTGGATATATTTCTCGTGTCTGTGAAGCAAGTATTCACTGAAATTCCAGTGTGTTTGTTGACCACCAAACTGTCATAAAAGCACACGTCTGGTCCGAGGTTCTCCCCTGGAGAAACATCATTCTACAGCAATCAATGATTAGCTGCTGTACAAGTAGGCGGGGCTTCATTCGCCATATTGACCGTTACACTTTTCCTCATTCAAAACTATACGAGTGACATGCTTTGTGTATTCTATTCACCTTATTCTCAGCTGGCAAGTGGGCGCTGCCATTTGAATCTTTTTGTCTCGCGACTTCCGGTCACATTCACTTCCATTCATTTTTTGACGTTAACAACTGCTCGTTACGCTGCTTGATGTTGCAATTTAATATTTTCTTATTATATTATGCTACTTGGTCTGTATAGTCATGCAAACATTTGTTTGTTGAGCAAGTTTGACCATTTTCTGCCGTTTATTATTCCTAGTCATTTCTCCCATAGGCGACTGAATCGGAAGTTCTAAGACAATCGCGAAAACAGGCGCACTTCCGCATTTTAGAATAAGGTCAATAGCTAGATCTTTGGTGCATCTCACGGATGTTTGTTCATTTCGCTAACTTTGCAGATGAGTGCCCTAAGGTAAAACCCGCCTCTTGCTCCTTGGCAGCAATGTATTGTGATACATTTTTAGTGGCTTCTAGAGATAATCACTGTTTCAGTGTAACTCGCCATTCGACAAGTAAAAAAAGAAGACGTATTATGTGTTTCACTGCTATCTAGTGGTTGGGAGCATTTCCGTTGTGTTGTGAGTTTAATGTTTGCTTTTTTGCAAAACTGCGAGGCAGCGAAAAGTCAACTGTGTTATAGCGAGGAGCCACTGTACTAATGTAAACCATTTTGCTACAAATGCGTACTGTAACTTTTTCAAAAGATGCCACCAGAGTGACAGCTCTCGTACCATTACTTCTGAGATGGAAAGTGTGAAGAACAAAAGAGCATGAGCGCATGAGGAAAGAGTCAGAAATGAAGATGCTTTCCTACTAGTTGTAGCACTAAAAAATGTGAATGAATTTCAGAGGATGTTTACAAGAACAGTAATACACCTCCTGAAATGTAAATGTAACTGCTAAATTTGTGTTTTAACATTGAAAACAGTTTGAAAACAATCTCACCTAACACTGTACTTTTACTTCAAGGAGGATATTTAGTATTTATAACTCATTTGTTAGCAGGGCATTTCTACATGTTCACTGTATTTTGTTAGCTGTTAGTTATGTCTTGTTTACTGTACAGTATGTTTGAGTTTTTTAACATTTTTTTTTACATTTTTTTATCACTGACTTCAGCTTCTGATATAGCTTATTTAGCAGTTTGTGTGGGCTACATGTGATTTTAGTTCATGTGAGCTTTTTCTGGCGGCTGAAGCACAGAGTTTGGGGAAGTATTAATTACTGTTGTTTGCAAAAAAATGTGTGTGAGAGAGAGGGAGAGAGAGAGAGAGAGATTTTCATTTGTATGAAGCATTGTTTGTTTTACTTATTCGGACTAAAGTGTGTCACAACAGGAAACAGGCCAGTTTAGGCAAGGAAACTTGGCCTTGATGACCTTGGAATAACTAAATCATGACGGCATAATTTGCATTGCATCTACATATTCTGCATATGTGAAACACGAAATGCTAATGTTTATTTGTATATAATAAAATTAATATTTGGACAATGGACATAGTTTACCAGTTCATCAATCCTGAAAAGAGAATGTTTATAAATATATAATATTACTATATAAAATTATTATTTTAGCAAATTTGACATGCTCATGTCTGGATTAGTGCTAATCAACAGTGCAAACTTCCATAGGTAGCATTTCAAAATGTCTACCCATCCATCATCTATTTGTTTTATTTCATATTTTATTAATTGATATAAAAAACTTTAGAAATCATGTCAGATCTTTTATTTTTAATCGTCTAATACTTATGTAGGCTACTCAACTCATTCTTTTACAAATTGTTTATGCTTTTGTTTCGTCAAACTTATTGACTATATTTATTGATCAGCTAATTGTGTAGGCTATTTATAGACCAAAATGAAAAGGAAGCCGCAGCAAAGTAAAAAAAAAAATTTCAAGAAACAAAACAGACAAGTAAGGTGTCAGAAACTACTGTACCACAGCAACAAAAAAAAGTAAAGCAAACTGTCACGATTGACAAATCGTTACCTTGATGACATTCTCAAAGATGGTATCCCTAAAGTCGAGCAGCGCTTTCTGGTCAAACTCTTTTCCGTGGATGATCCTCATCTGCTTGAGGAATGTGGACTTGCCGCTCTCTCCGGCGCCCAGCAGCAGGATCTTCACCAGCCGTCGTATGGAGCGCCGCTCGCGCTTCAGCATCGAGTCGATCTCGCGACTGCGCCGCTTCGCCTCGCGCTCCCGGTTCACGTCCCGCTCGCGGGTGCGATCTTTCCCGGTACTCCTGTCATCGTGAGCGGCCTCAGCGGGCAGTAAACACCGGCTCAGGGTGCGCACCACGCCAGCCATCCTGTCCAGCTTTAACACGGTCAGTTATCACCTGATCTACTCATTAAAGTGCCAAAGAACTTTATCTTTCGGATAAAATCTACTCAGCTCATCTGTCTACAAGTGTTAACAATTTAAAGAGACACTAAATGAGTAAAACCGAATCACAGCGGACACTTTCCTCCATTATTATAAAGGCATTTGTTGAGGAAAGCTGAATAGAGATCCTTTCCACAGCAAAGCGACCACCACTGCTGTCCGCTAAAAAACTTTAAAGAAATTATACAAACAAAGCCACTGTTCGTGACAGTACAATAAAAATCAAGCGATAAATATGGTCAGGAAATGTTAATTCGCTGAAAAACGCATTCCTTTACATACTGGTAGTCCCAAAAGTTCATTCTGGAGGAGCGCGAGCGACTTTCTGATGTTTCCACTCAGTTCTGGGAAGTTTCTTTGACTGAGCGACTGACGCCCCTGTTGAGTGCGTGGCCGGCAGGGGGCGCGAGCGCGCGAGAAGGATGTTTGTTCGGACATGAGGGGGATTCCAGTCCGTGTCACAAATGTCGTTGTTACACAGTGGCCCCTGGCTGTCTGTCGGTTATCTACTTCTGTCTGCGAGGCGGTGACAGTTTTACATGAGGAAAAGTGCTGATAAGTTTAATAATAAGCATAAAACATTTTACAAAACAAATGAGAATTCCCTCCTTCTACTCCTGTAAATCTACTAACATGCCAGCCTAGCTGTTGAAAAGGTAATTCATACTCATTCTTAGTCTTGAATGCTTAATCTTCATGACAATCAAATTCAAACACACCTCATTACTTAGTCAGGTGAATGTCATATGATATAATTAGCCTTTATTTATTTATTTTCTTTCCTGTCATAGAGCTAAAGCAGGCCACAACTATAGATTTGGTCATCTTCAATAAATCAATCCAGTCACTGATACACAAAACTCCTTATAAACTGATAAACTGGCCATTTTTATTTTATTCATTTATTCATTTTCTGTTGAATTAGTCCCTATTTCAGAGGTCCCACATTCTTCTTCTTCTTCTTCTTCTTCGTGCTATTATTATTATTATTATTATTATCGTTGTTGTTGTTATTTATTGTTATAATTATTATTATTTATATAATTATTATGTATTAAGGGCATTTATATCTATCTATCTATCTATCTATCTATCTATCTATCTATCTATCTATCTATCTATCTATCTGTCTGTCTGTCTGTCTGTCTGTCTGTCTGTCTGTCTGTCTGTCTGTCTGTCTGTCTGTCTGTCTGTCTGTCTGTCTGTCTGTCTGTCTGTCTGTCTGCCTGCCTGCCTGCCTGCCTGCCTGCCTGCCTGCCTGCCTGCCTGCCTGTCTGTCTGTCTATCTATCTGTCTATCTATTTATCTGCAGTCCTGGGGAAAGGGGTTGTTTTTTTTTTCTCAAAATGTGGACTTTTTTGCAGTTATTTACTTCATTTTCATTTTAATTATATTTAAATACTCCAATAAGTGACATTTTAATCACTATCTGTAGTTGGATTAGCTTGTAGTATCCTCCATTTTCGATGTACCTTTAAATGTAAATATTTCCTAAAGATTTATAATAAACAAATATTAAAAAGAGCTTCACAATTTTCTTCTAGCCTCTCTTAAAATTCATTCAACAACAACAGCCTAATTAGTATAAACAGCAAAAGTCAGTCTAAGACACTCGACAAATGGGGGGAAAATAATAAAAGCTTTTACTGACATGGCTTTTTATTTTTTAAACTGCGCCTACACGTTTTGATAACATTTGACTTCATCAGGTATAACCTGATGTAGCCGCAGTTTTAAGCAACAGCTATGTCAATAAAAGCTTTTTATAATTTTTTTCTACATTTTTTGAGTGCCTTGGATTGATTTTGATGTTTATTCTGATGAATCCCTTACACAAAAAGCACAGACACATTATTTAAGCTACCCCTGAAAACTTTTTGATTGATTTTGGATTTTTATACACAGCCTAATTAGTATTAAAATTATTAGGCTGCTTTTAATGCTTCAGACCTTTTCATTGGTTATTTTTTTTCTCTCAAGAATAAGGTTTAAGATTTAAAATAAAAGGTAGGCTACTTGTAAAATGTTTTTTTTAACAACTGTCGGTCAATAGTGAAAGTTGACTTCACTTATGTCATATTGTGCGTTTTCTTAAAACCTTCCATGAGTTATTTCCACAATTTATGATGACATAGCAGTCAAAAAAGGTAAAATGAGAATATAGTGGCATCAATGGCTAATTCTGGACCTTTGTCAGTAGGCATGTAGCTCTTTCGAACCACTCAAACCCCCCCCACCCCCCGAGCTACAGGCCAGATCTGTCTGTCTGTCTGTCTGTCTGACTATCTACCTATAATTACTTTAATTTACTTTGTAGTCAAGTATGGTAATATAAAGTAAAATAAAGATTAGAATTATTTACATGTGTCAATAAAAATTTAAATGGCAGCTAATTAATTTTCTAAATTGACAAATAAAACAGACAATTGCATGTCAATAGGGAAGAAAAGACTATCATAACTTCTTTAATAATTAATTTACAGTTTTTCTCAGTTGCTTTGGTGCATTTTTCACAACTCTTTACATTTGCACAAAAGTTAATGAATTTCTCGAAACAATTAGGACAAACTGCAAAACCTAGTTGTAAACCTGCAAAAGTGTGTCACTTGCTCAAAATGGATGGCTCATTCTTCAAAAGCAAGCATCGATGTCAATGAAAGTGTCAGTATCATCAAAATGAAAAGTCCTGACACCATTGTTTATGAACAAGATAGTCAAAGTGGCTTTGTCATGTTTTTATTATGATAGTTTACTCTGTACATTTATTTCAATGCAAAAAAGTCAGATTTTGGTGTCAAATGCTGAAGACAACACTAGATAAGACTAGATATTATTTGCACAGCCATTTGAAAACCACAGTAAAGTTAGACATCACTGCATTTAGTGAGGTATCCGAGTACAAGACATTGAAAATGTACGCTTCACATTTTTACTGCATGTACTCTTTGCCATTCTTTTTTTATTCTCAGCATTGTGCAAAATAATAAATACATTCTTATTTACAACAATTCACTTGTACCGCATGTCTTTGGACTGTGGGGGAAACCGGAGCACCCAGAGGAAACCCACAAGAACGCAGAGAGAACATGCAAACTCCACACAGGAACGCCAACTGAGCCTAGGCTCGAACCAGTGACCTTCTTGCTGTGAGGCGACAGCACTACCTACTGCGCCACTGCGTCACCGGTCTGTTAATCATTCATGAAATTGTTCGATTTAGGAGATATTTTCAGGAAAAAAAACTATTTGAAAATATTTATAAAACTTGCTTGATGGATTTTGACCAGTTGAACATGTGACTCAAGTAATGAGATGAGGACTATTGGTTTTATATGGAATGCCTATTCCAAATGACTATTCAGCGACAAAAACATGTGGAACAGATGAATTGGGTAAACAAAATTGGCCATAGTGTATGAGTGTATATGAATGTTAGAGTGTATGGGTGTTTCCCAGTACTGGGTTGCAGCTGGAAGGGCACCTGCTCCTATTAAATCAGGGTGTTCAAAGGAAAATGAATGAATACACAATATTTGAGAAAGTGTGTTTATATATCAAATATGTAATACAATTTATATATACAAAATAAAATGTCTATGCAGTGGTTTTTTTGTACAGATTTGTTTTTATGTGTGTTTTACATATACAGTGGAAGTCAAAATGACCAGCCTTCCTGTGATTTTTTTTTTCTTCCAAATATTTCCCAAATGATGTTTACCAGAGAAAGGAATCTTTCACAGTATTTCCTATAATACTTTTTGTTTAGGAGAACGTTTTATTTGTTTTATGTCAGCTAGAATAAAAGCAGTTTCAATTTTTTCAAAGCCATATTAAGGTCAATAATATTAGCCCCAATGTAAGTTTTGAATGTCATTTTTTTGCTATACAATGACTTGCCTATAACTTAGTTAACCTGATTAACCTAGTTAAGCTTTTAAATTGTCCTTAAGCTGAATACTAATACCTTGAAAAATATCTAGTAAAATATTATGTACTTTCATCATGGCAAAAATAAAATAAATCAATGTTGAAATGTTGAAAAAAATCTCTCCTTTAAACAGATATTGGGAACAAAATATACAGGGGGGATAATAAATTTTACTTCAACTGTATGGATGCGATTAATCTGTACCCAGCACTAATCTTTTCAGACCAGACCATCTTAGGTCATGTAATAAAGAAGCATTTAGTTTGATAAAATTATTTAAATATATATATTTAAAAAAAATGAAAGAGTTTTTGACAGCAAAGAGAAAAAACTACTTTAAAAACGTTTTATTGCTATTTTGCGTTTGTTGATAAAGTCTATTAAGGCGGAAAAAAGGCTATTCATGTGGCCTTCATGTGGCTTGGATAAAAAAAAAAAAAAGAGTTTATCAAATAATAACGATTCATTCAGCAGAGGGCAGTGTTAACCTGCACTTATATTCATACATTTCCTTTGAATCATGTTTTTCAAGCGCTCATTGACTCATGTATGAGCTCAGTTCGACACGTATTGCCAATGTCAAAAGAAAATTAAAACAAATCTCTAAATAAGCACATTTATCAAAACAATTTGTCAAAAAATCAACAGAATACTATAAGACTAAAATAGTGTCTAGTCTAATACGACACTCTCTCAAACATAATATATCAACACAAAATAATACGAAACAAAAAGCCATCTCGGCACCATGAACACATTCCATCATTAAACCATTAAACCCGAAGGTGCAGAAAAGTAAATCAGGCTAATTTTTTTCTCTCCAACTGACCACCATATGAAAAACAGCCCTTGCAACATTAGCATATAAATAGCAACAGTTTATTATCATTTTTCCCCGTTCCTTCTCCAAGTAGATTATTGAATGGCATTCAGAGCACTGGAAAACCACTCTGTCATTACTGTGGCCCCAGTGCAGAGTTCTTAAACCTATTTGTTGAGCTGATGTGTGCAAGGAAAACCTTTAATGGAAAAGCTTTCAAGTTGATTTTTTTCAAGCAGGAGGTTAATTGGACTGGGTTTTTGGTGAAAGATGAAATCAACATGCACGCGAAATGCAGCTGAAGAGGCTTTCGGAGTGCAACGCGCCCATGATTACACATTTTGATCGGCAAATCAGAAAAGCAACACGCGAATGTACAAGTATTCATTCTTCTCATTGTGTAAATTGCTTTTTGGAGAGCGTTGGGGGAAAACTAAGGCTGAAATAATCATCAATGCACTTTTAGGCAGAGCAGCAAGTGCTTTAACTGTGTGTAATGTACTGTTCTTCACTAAAACAGGCAGAGTTGTATTTAAAAGGGGAAGCCAGCTAATGTGGGCCACGTTTTGGTAAATGATTA